ACAAAGGTTAAAATGGGAGCTGACATGTGACCATGTAAAGTGGACGTTTTGCACTTTGGATGGTTTGGAAGCAATAAACTCAGGCCCTGAGGTGCTGAGTTATGAGCAAACTAACCCTCCCTCCTGACCCAGAGAGCGGGTTAACTCCTTCAAGCCTCGGAAGAACGTAGTGTTATACTCCCATTTCCCAGGTGAGGACGGTGGGGCGGGGAGAAGCCTGGCCAGAGGGGAAATGTTGCTGGGTCATGTGTTGGCGACCACCAGGACCTCAGGGGGAACTGGAAGCCATAGTGGCTTGTGGGGGATACCAAAGAGATCATTTAATAGTTGAGGAATGTGGTGGTGAAGCTGTGCCCACCAGGATTTGCGGTGAATCCAGCTCTGGCACGTCCTCGCTGTGTGTTCTCAGAATGTTTTCCCTCTCTGTGCCTTGGTTCCTTCACCGGTAAGCCCTTTGTAGCCTTTAAGTTCACTTAAGCCGCACAGCAGCGCTTCGAAAGACGTCCTCCTACCGTCACCTCCGCTTCACATACGGGAAGCTGAGGCACAGGGAGGAGAAGCCTGCCCGAGCTCGCCAACTCAGCAAGTTAATCCATGCCCTCTGACCCCTGCTCTGTCAACTAGAATCTTTGCTCTCTGCTTCTCAGGAGCCTGGGGACATCTTTGGGGACCAACACAGCTGTCTCGGGACAGGGTCTCTTTTCACTTTTGCAAGGTTTATTTTAAATAAGCAGTATCGCTTGTATAATCAGGGAAAGATTATGTTTAGTCTTTACCACCTCCAAGGTCATGTGTCTCTTAACAAAGATCAAAGGGCTTGACTCCTCAAAATCAGGTTCCTCTGTGCGCATCTGTCCGAGTTCCGGAGAAACCTGTTTTCCTTGAGTTTATTGGGAAGTCGGCTGTTGTCCCAACACAAACTGCACGATGGACAGCAGGTGGCGCTGCCGCCTCATGGAGAAGCCACCGGGAAAGCGCTTTCTGGGGTGGGGCAAAGGCACTGGGCTGCCTCTCTCCCAGGGACAGTCCCCCTCCCCAGGGAAGGCACTCTGGTGAAGACCCCTGGAGAGTTAACTGGTACCCACTGCCCACGCCTGCTGCCGCCTCACCAGGACTCTGACCGTTTGGACAGATACCACGCAGCGCTCGCTGCCTGTGTCACACAAGCTGTGACCACGTCAAGGCCAGAAACGTGTGCTGATCTGTGGCTGGCTCTAGGGACATTTCCAAATACAGAAACAGTTTACCCTTTTTCAGGGGACGTCTGAGGACCTGGCATGCTTCCCTGTGGCCGTAAGCCCTAAGCACAGTGGGACGCATGGCCCGTGCTTCCTCCATGGTGTGGGAGTTTTAATAAGATGCTTGGAGAGGCTTGTCACCATTGCTTCTTCCCAGACCTCTATTCCGAAGCCATGGGATATGACCTGCACCTTTTCTGCGAGCAGCAGAAATGGTCTTGTGGACCACATTTCAATTGGCCCTTTCGCTAGGCCTGGTAGCTGGAGGAAAGTGGGTGACCGGGAGCCGCAAAGCACAGTGCGTTAGGGACAGGGCTTTGGGTCTGATTCCAATTTCCAGCTCTTACTAGCAGCGCCTGGAGCAAGCCCACTGACCTGTCCATGCCCGGTTCCTGCCTCTGGAAGGCGGGAGTAGTCCTAGGACCTCCCTAAGGGAATCCCAAGAAGGGCAGAAGGGTGTTTGGGAAGAGGGCTTGCTGTGGCCAGCATGCAGCCTGCCTGGTGAGCATGAACGTCCGCTGCGTGTCTGGACTTGGAGCTGCCGTGGCAGCTGGGCGGGAGGGGGCAGCAGAGGCCGCGCTGAGCTTCCTTCACCAGGGCTCTTCTCAGGAGTCCAGAGAACACTGGGGGAGAGACTGCAAACTCAAGCGGTCACCAGGACCCCTGGGAATCTGTGAATACTGGAGTCCTGGGTCCCACCTCCAGAGAGTCGAGTCAGGTAGCTCTCAGTGCCACGCTCCCCGGTCTGCAGCTTGAGTGGACGCCCCACGTTTCTGATGAGGGCAGTTCCACACTGAGAACCACCATCAGAGATGAAGTCGTTGGGCTCAGGGGTCTTCTGGCCTGGAGGTTGAGAGGTCCTCCCTGGGAAGGGGGCAGGGTCTCTCCAGGTGCAGGTTGCTAGAAGGTGGGGAGCTCTGTGGCTCCCAGACTGAGCGCTCATCGGAAAGCCTCGCGTCTAGGCTCTAGTGAAGTGCAGAGTCTTGCCGTGTGTGTGGCACACACCCTCCCCAACACGTACTGTCGACAGATCTCTAGGGAAGCAGGGCGAGACATGCCGGTCTTGTGGCCATTCCTGTCTGGGACCACAGAGCTCCTAAGGACATTTGCCACTGCCCTTCATAGGTCGTAAGGTCAGCATTGCTAGAGATAACCTGAGGTTCAGAGGTGATAGGGCTTGCCCAGGTTCAGTGGTGGCAGAGCAGGGACTGTGTAGCTTTGTCTCTCTACTATCTCTGGAGTAGCTGCCAGCTGGTGGGTGCTTGGAAGGCAGGGAGGCAGGCCTTTATGCACCCCTCCTCCCTTCCTTGTCCCTCGCTCTCCAGCTGCAAAGGGAGAGGAAAACTGGGATAGGTGGGCTTTGATGGCACAGAGGGGCCAGTCACCTTCCCATCAGAGGCACATATCCTGAGTGCCTTCTAGCCAGATGTGGACCAGAGGTGGGCATGAGGGAGGGAGGGAGCTCCATGGGGTGAGGACTGGCTGGGCCTGCAGTTCCTTCCCGCCTGGGACTGGGCATCGAGGAGGATGCCAAGGCGATTCTGCTGCTGGGTCTGCGATGGGCCACCTGCTGAGGCTTGGGTACACCCAGGACGTCAGCCCCTCTCCCCACGCAGAACCCTGGATTCCCGGGATGTGTAATCCACAATTAGAAATCCGATGGCATTACCCTTGCTACTTCCCACCTCCAGGCATTTTATTGGGGGAGGGGGTGGAATTCATACACTTAGGGCAGCTTGACTGCATTGTTCCAAGACAGCCCCCCACTGAGGTATGCTCAGGTTTTACGAATTAGTTCTACCTAGGATGTCCCTACGGTCGGATGGTACAAATGCACACAGCGCTCATGGTTTTGCAGTAGACAGAAATGCCTTTACATTTCTAAGATTGTTGCTTGTACGCGCACAGCACATTCTTGTGCAGGCGGTCGGAGCTTTGCCGCCGGCCCCTGTGCAAATCAGGGGAAACGGGCCCTGGGGAAGACGCCACCCAAGCAAGCAGTTCCATGAGGCACCAGGAGCAGCAGCGGCGGCAGCAGTGTCATGGCTGCCGAGACCCTGTTGCCTCCTTTCCGAGCCAAGCTTTCCTGGGGGGCGGGGGTGGGGGAGGCTTTTCTCTCATCCCCAGGCGCAGGGTCAGACTGGGAGATGGAGGCCAGGCCCAGCCTGCGGGTCCCCGGCCGGTTTTCCTGCACCAGCCCCTCTGCGTGCCTCCTTCGCAGCCTGGCCAGGGTGTGGGAGCGGCGGGAGAGCCCGCAGAGGCGCAGGTGCCCCCGGGGCGTGGAGCAGGAAGCCGGGGCTCGCCTCTGCTCCAGGCTCTGGTCCGCGCGCAGTAGATCGCTGGCGGTCCTGTGGGGGCAAAAGAGTGGGCGCAGAGGCTGGAGACGTTGCTGGAGACTGGGGAGCTTCCCGGCTGGGCAGGCATTGGGTTTCTCCTAATCAACCCCACTTCCCAGAACCTAGGTCCTAATTGGGGCTCAGTCTCCATGGCGCGCGCGGGAGGGAGGACAAGACCCACTCTTGCCTGCGGTTTCTGCACTGGAGGCCCGCGGGATTTTCTCCGGCCTTGTTTTCCTGGGCACCGATCTGATGGGCGGCTGTGGTGGCGTCCACCCCAGAAGGGACAGTGCCGTCTCTGCTCGCCGCAGACATGCTCCTGGAGCGCAGGACTAGGTGCGTGTGGGCGACAGCCTGCTGAGCAGGGAGACCCCAGCCCCATCGCTTCGGCCCACCAGAGACCCCAGGGATGGAGTCACCAGCCTTTTCCTGTACTCTTTATCTCGGTTTTATAGACAGCGGTTAGTTTGGGACATTAATTGCCTAGGCGAGTTTGATAATTTTGATGTAACAGAGCCCTGGAGAAATTACCCTCATGTCCAAAATGTCAAATTTGAGAAGAACCAGGTTCAGAGGCTCGCAACCCCACGACGCGGAGAAACTGCGGTGGGTCCTGAATGGCCGCACGGACAATGTGATTTTACTGTTTGTTTTCTTAGGTAGCGGAATCGGTAGGGAAGGAGGGTGGTCCGTTAGAGACACAGGTTTTTAAACCGTGTTTTCCCCCCACAATGACTTTGGAGGAAATGTTCTTGAATGGAAATGTTTTTGTCACCTTGCTCTCACACCAGTGGTCTTTTTCTTGCTTATATTTTACTCACTTGTGAGTTGGGGAAAAACAAGTATAGAGAACCAAAAACAAACAAAAAACCCCCACAAAAAACCCTCAACAAAAACAAAACTCTACAAAAAAAATAAAGTTGTTTCATAATTTATAACCGCTAGAAAATGGTAACAGTAAAGCCTGAAACTCCAAGTAAAACTCTCAATGGTGGCAAAAAAAAAAAAAAAGTTAAAAAAATCATCTATATACTTATATCTATATGGCTTTCCCTGGGGAAAGGAGGGGCACAGTTTTTCTTTCAACATCTGATTATGTATTTCAAACAAGAAATGACATTTAGAGGGGCAGAGGGCTCTTCTTAAAAAACAGAAGCCAAGAAAAATAGTTACTCACGTCCAGATCTCACATCAGTAGGAAGCGAAGGATGGAAAAAGGAGGATTAGCGAAAGAAGAAAAAAAGGGGGAGGAGAGAGAGAGAGAGAAGAAAAAGGATTCAGAAACGTCCACATTTTACATAAAAAAAGGCTAGCCATGCCTAGCCGATCTCTGTGTGTACTGGGGTTGAGAAGATACTCCGTAATCCCAATCCCAATAAAATACTCATTGATTTTATTTCTAGCTGATACAATGTTAAAGGCCATGTACAAATGTTATACATTTTTATTTTTGTTCTTTTTTTTAGGAAAAAATACACAAAAGGCAAAACATCCTCGAATTGTCATTTTATACAGTGCAGAAGGAAATTTAAAATACGTGTCACAAACGCTGCACCCCAGCAGCCAAATACTAAAAAAAGGGGTAGTCCTTCATTTTATATATATATTTATATAAACATATGGAAATTTGTTTTTACACAGATTGGACTTTGTTTCAAATTTACAATGGATCTCTAAAAAAAAAAAAAATTTCTACGCGGCAAATATTGCCAACAAAGTTACACCATTAATACTGATAAACGGAGGAGCCGATGCGGTGTTTCGATTATTAGGGAAGAAAGTAGAATAAATAACAGGATGAGCCTTGCTATAGTTTAAAAAAGTGCCTTAACCTTTCTGCGTCGCCTTCGCCGCAATCCTGAATTCGTGCGCTCACCGGCCTTCCCTGTCCCCGCGCCGCGCTGTGCTCCCCTTGCTCTCACACCAGCACGTTTTTACAGTAGAGATCGGGAGACAGTTGGGTCTTGTGAGACGAACACCCGCCGAAAAAGTCAAAATGCAATCGGAAACAAAACCAAAAGGACTGTAGAGAAGGCCCGAGGAGGACTGAGGGGAGGGCAGAGGCCCGGGGAGCCCCTGCTTCTGGGCTCCTCCTGGTTTCCTTTTGTAAGAGGAACAGTGGCTTCGGAAATGCAAGTCCGCACAAAGATCCACCTGTGGTTGCTGGAGGGCTTCGGAGATGGGGAGGGAGATGGGATTTCTTGCCCCCCCTTCCCTGCAAAACCCGGCTCTAAGAGGAGACTTGCGCATTCCAAGACATTCTTTCAAAAAAAAATTAAAAATAAAAAGATAAATACTCAACCAAAAAATAAAGTATTTGATAATGATGGTCTCACATGTTTGCCTTCTGAAAACCTTCCCCCACTTCTGCCATTGGAGGGAAGGCGGGGAGAGGCCTCAGCAGAATTCTCATTTAGATGTCGAGGGTCCCCCCAACACAGCACCTTCTCAGCCGCCTTCAACTGGATCAAAAACAGATACTTATTTACCAACAGCTGCGGTCAGACAGACCCCACAGCCACCATGTGTTAATCTTTTGAAGAAGTTGGGGAGGAGGTGCTGACCGCCATGTTGCGTCTTTGCCTTGGGGATTTCTTTCCAAATAATCCAGGTGGGTAGGGGTCAAACCCTCGTCTTCTGCCTACGGTTATACCTCAAGAATAAAGCAGTTTCTTGCAATGCGTTCCAGGTCCCTGCGCCAGGCCGCCCGGGCCCGGTGGGGCCTGCTAGCTGTGGTCTCACATCACACAGGGCTTGATGTCTTGGTAGGTGACCTGCTGGTGGTAGTAGGAGCCACTGCCGGCCGAGTGCATGGACGAGGACGCCATGGTGTTGAAGGAGAAGACGAACTCCTTGCGGTCACACATGCCAGGGGACTGGGAGTGATACCTCGGGATGCCTGTGAAGGAGGCAAGAGGAGGGCAGGGAGCAGAGTTAGGGTCAGGGACGCAGGGCTCCAGGCGGAGAAGCAGCGCCACCCGGCTCCAGCGCAGGGCTCTGTTGCCTCCCTACGCCCCACCGAGGTGGGGCCAGACTCCCAGAGTTCTAGCCTCAGGCGGGTCCAAGCAGCCCCAGATTCCAGGCCCTGGGCCCTGTGCTCCGGCAGAAGATCCCGGGACCCCACTGATGACCGCTGCTCCCTGGGTGCCCACTGTGGGGGCCTCTATCGCCTCAGACATCAGAGCTCTATGCTGGGGCTTCCTGAGGCTGAAGGGGAAGGGGTGAGGAGGCTCTCACGGGCCAGCAGATCTCAAGAAGAGTCTGGCCTCCGCTTCCATGGCCAGCCCAAGGCCTGTGCCGGGCCCTGGGGCACCCACCCCCCAACCTCAAAGCCTGCAGAGGCCCTGGTGCCGCTGGAGCCTTCCCCAGGGGAAGGACCCTCCAAGAACAGCTCCCTCCCCCCAGCGGGTGGAGAGGCTGCCCAAGCCTGGGAGTCTGAAGCAGCCCCAGCCAGGAGATCCCTGCAGAGAGGCGGCCCTCAGGCCCTCCAACCACCAGACCCGCTCCTGCCTCGCGGGGGCAGCTGACAGCTGAGCCCTGACAGGCCGTGCTGAGCTCCTCAGCGCCCTTTTCAGAACCAGGCCCGGAGAGGCTGGCGGGTGCAGAAAGGAGAGTCCCGAAGGGAACACTCTTCTACATCTCCTCCTCAGAGGGGTGGGGAGGAGTGTACCTGCGACACTGAAAGCCTGGATCCTCAGAAACAAAGAGTCTGCGGGGCCTGCACCTCTAACTCTTGCTCTGGGCCTGGCCACAGCTCCTCTCTGCCTCTATCACTACAAAATGTCCCCCAGCTCAGCCGTCCCGTGGCCGGCCTTGGTTCCCTAGGAGGCTGGGCTGCTGGGCTGCTGAGCACCCAGCCCAGGCAGCTTGGGGCCTAACTCTTCCTTTCTGTCCACGCAGCTTTCCGGTGGAGATTCCAGGGCAGGCCCAGCCAGCTGGCCGAGACTGGGCTTGGGCTCCATCCTGGGAACTTGATGAGGCGTGAGGGGGGTAAGGGCTTAAAGAGATGTAGAATATCGGGGTCTGAGTCTTTTTGTTAGAAAGGGGTCGCTTGGCCAGGCTAGGGACTACCAGCGGCGAGGAGATGGAGCCGAAAAGGAGAACAATTATCTTGACCTGAACTGCCACCCTTCAAAGGGCGGCGTGCGGGACAGAGATACTCTGGAGAGCTGGTGCCTCCCCGAAGCAGTGGGGGTGGCACCCCCCAGAAGTGGCATGGAGCCCTCGCCCAGGGCGGTCAGCAGTTTGGGGGCTGGGTTCCGTGCACTGACAGATGTCGGACCAGGACTAGGACAGCCCTGGTCTCCCCACTCACCTTGCAACTCAGCTGGGGCGTTGTGACTGTTCTGGTGTAGATACGGCTGGTCCAGGGAGTGCGTGGAGAGGCTGCCAGACAGGGGGTTGGCCGCGGGGTTGCAGGGGGACAGGGGCTGCTGCTTGATGTAGGAGGCGCCGCTGTTGAGGGCTGCAGAGGCCGAGGGTGGCCAGGCGGCCGCGGAGCCCGAGTAGACTGCGTGCGGCTCCATGACCCCGCTGGCGGTTGCAGGCAGCAGCGGGGAGGCAGGCACCGAGCTGTCGTGGTGCGGGTACTCACCCGCCGCTGCGCCGCCACAGCTGCCCATGTACGAGTGCCCACCGTTTGCGGGCAGGTGTGGCACCGAGTGGCTGGGCAAAGCCATGCCGTCCACGTTGCCCGGCAAGTGGCCGTTCATCATGCCCAGGCCACCCTCCAGCGCCAGACTGTTGGGCGGGCACGAGAGGCCGCCGGCAGAGCTCTGGAAGCCGTAGGTGTCCGGGAGGTGGTTGAAGCCGAGCCCGTTCATCATGCTGTACATGGGCTTGAGCGCCTGGCATTTCCTTCGGAAGCCGCGCGGCCGCCGCCGAAAGGAACCCTCCTCGAACATGAACTCGCTGGCCGGGTCGATGGTCCAGTAGTGGCCTTTACCAGGCCGCCCGAGGCCCTTGGGCAGCTTGATGAAGCACTCGTTGAGAGAGAGGTTGTGGCGCACGGAGTTCTTCCAGCCCTGGTAGGAGCCGCGGAAGAAGGGGAAACGGCTCTGCAGGAACTGGTAGATCTCGCTGAGCGTCAGGCGCTTGGTGGGCGAGCTCTGGATGGCCATGACGATGAGCGCGATGTACGAGTAGGGCGGCTTCTCCGGGCGCCGGATGCCGGCGTTGGTCTTCTTGGCCTTGGACGGGCCGGACGACGCGGGGTCCATGGCCGCGCCGCCTCCCCCGCCGCCGCCGACGCCGCCGCCGTGCGGTGGCTGCTGCTTCTCGGGCGCCGAAGACATCGGGTGGCTGCTGCCGCCGCCGCCGCTGCCGCCGCTGCTCTGCGCTGCCGACGAGCCGGGAGGAGGAGGAGGAGGAGGAGGAGGAAGAGGAGGGGGGGGAGGAGGGCGAGGGGGAGGGGGCTGCGCGCGCGGGGCTGGCTGCACCTCTGCCGTCATCCGCGGCCACTTCTCCGGAGCGGGCCTCGGCGCGCCCTCCCCCGCCCGCCCGCCCGTCCTCCCCGAGGAGCTGCTGGATCCGCCGGCGGTTGGCGCGGAGCCCCCCTCTCCCCAGCTCCCTCCTCCCCCTCCTCTCTCTCCTCCCTCTTTCCCTCTCGCCCTCCCACTAGGGAAGGAGCCCAACGGAGGCTGAGGGGCAGCCTCTTTGCAGCCCCGGCAGTGGCCGCGAGGAAGGCCCCCCACCTCCGTCGCCGGTTTTTTGGGGAAGGCACCACCTCCGGGGCCTGCGGCCGTGCGCCCCCGCGGGGAACAGCACTTGGCCCTTGCCACCCGTGGCGCTCGGCTCCACGACTCCAGCCAGGCCGCCCTCACTGCATCTTCTCTCTGCGGCGTCTCGAGGGCCGGCCTAAGACCCTCCAGGAGTTCCCTCCCCCCCCGCCCCCCTCCGGCCCCGCGTCGGTGGGCGCTTAAAGGGCCCCCACCCTCGGCGCCCCGCGGCCGCCTGCAAAACCGCCCCGCCTCCACCAACCTGGCGAGCAAGTGTTAATGCGCCCTCCGCCCGCGGCTCAGCCCCGTTCTGCGCAGCCCCCCCCCCTTCTTCCTCGCTCGGAGGCGCGGACACCCCGGGCCTCTCCGGACGCGCACAGCCGGGTGGCAGATCGCAACTGCAGCGGCGGCAGCGGGTACCGGGCCGTGGCCACCGCGGGCACAGCCGGCTCGGCCACGGGTCCCCGCGGCCAGCGGGCGTAAGTTCCCGTGAGGGACCGCCTACCCACTCTCCCCGCCCCGGGGAGGACTGCGCTGCGCCTGGGACTTTTTGGACTCGCCCAGAAGCGCGCGAGCAGGCGGGCAGCCGCGGGAGCCGAGCACGGGCGGAAAACGAAAGCTCAGGGCGGGTCGCTGCCGCTTTGTCTCGGGCTCCGCGGGCCGGGCGGGAGCAAGTGAGAACCGCCGGCCCTGTGGGGGCCGAAACCATACGGGCTTCCCGGAACAAGCGGCCCCGCTCATTTGCTCATTCATGCACACACGCGCATGCATTGGTGCACGTGCAAATCCGGCAAATTACGAAGAGTCAGAAGTGAAAACTCACACTCATGCGTGCCTTCCCACTCACGCACACACCTCGCTCAGGCACGTGCGCCCCCAAGTAACGCGCTCGCTCACCCGCACAGAATAAGACCACAGGAGCTTACATTCTCACCTATTCTCATTCACGTGGCCACTAGCCACGTTGGGATCTGAACCACATTGTACCCGCCCCCCCCAACACACGCACACAATGAAAATCCGCCCATTTGGCCCCGCAGCTCCGGTGTCCCCACTTTCCAAGAACAGGTTCCGATTTCTCATAGATGGTAAAGGCCCTGGCAGGAAGTTTATACGGCTCAACGTAAACACGTTCTGGGGATTCTTTAATAATAATAATAGAGAATTCCGCGTGCGCGGGGGGGAGTTGGCCTAATGCCCCTGTGGGTTCGGCCTGCCGCCGCCGCGGGGCCTCTGACACTGCGCGCCAGGCCAGGTTCCGGAAAGCAGTCTGCGCGGGCGGGGAGCACAGGCCCGGGCGGCCCTCTCGCGCCAGGCTGTCCGCAGCAGGGGGCTCGCACGCACGCCTTCCCTGGCAGTGCTGGGGCGCGGGCTAGGGCTGGGTGGGAGGACAGTGGCGCCGAGCGCGGAACCGCGCAGGAGCTGGGCGCAGCACGGCAAGCGGGGACCCAGGTGAGTGCTGTTCGCGCGCTGACTGCAGGACACCGAGCCCAGCCTCTCTGGCCCTGGCCCTGGGTCGGGCGGAGGGAGGAGAGGGCAGTTTTCAAGGGTCGTCGCGAGGAGCCTAGATGCCTTGCCCTGGCAGGATCCTGGACGAAACACAGACGCCGGGAGTGCCGGGAGGCTCGGAGTGCGCCTGCCCCGCGGCGCTTTTCAAAGCCCACTGTCCTCTCGGGTTTCTCTGGCTTCCTTGTCCCCCGCTGTCCCCCCTCCTTGCTCAGACGCCTTCAGCCTCGGCGGTAGACGCCTCGTCGCCTTCGGGGCGCCTGGCACGTCTGTGCGAGGAGCTGGGGGTCTCAAGGCGAAACGCGCCCAGCGGTCGCTAGCTTTCCAGGCCGAGCGGCGCTCGCGGAAGCCGAATGAGTCTACTTCGCCGCGCTCCGCTTCCGCCGGGCTCCCCGGCCTAGGGGAAGGGTGTGTGGGATGTGACCAAGTTTGTGTGTGGCTGTATCTTCGCGCAGGAGGACGCGCACCCGCGGATCCACCCCCATTTCACACGGCCCAGCCGGCATCCACGGGCCTCAGAGACCCTGAGCCCGCGCGCAGCCGCCAGCGCGCCTTAGTGAATGCCCCTCACACAGCTTAGGCGCCCCAACCCTCGCTCGAAAGCACAGGCCTGCCCACCGCCGAGGACGCGCCTTCCGTCTAGCGCACACACTCCTCACGCCCGCACTGCGCGCTCGCCCACGCACAGCCGCTCCATTCGCGGGTACACGTGTCCACGCTCGCACGCGTTCTTACATTCTCTTTCCATCACTTTTTTTTTTTTTTTTTTTTTTTTTGGCTAAACGGCAGCTGCAGGCTAGGAGGCCCTGGCGGTGCTGGGAGGGAAGTTCCCGAGAAGGGGTCGCTACCGCCAGCTGCTGGGAGCACATCTGGCGTTTAGTAGAGAGGCCTGAGGGAGAGGCTGCCCCATTCCCCAGCCTGCTAAGGGTGCAGCAGTACCCTGCGGCTCTCAGGCTCTCAGAAATCGGGAGCAATGCCTCCGTTTCTCTGACAGGCTGCCTTCAAAGTGAGGGGGCTCTACAGGACTTGAAATTGGGGGAGATTTTCCCCAGTAGCCTCTTCCCTCCTGGGTCCTCTCCAGTTGGGAGGCGCCTCAGATGCCATCTTTGACTAAACCCCAGATCATTTCCTCCCTCCAGCACATGGGGGTCTTTCACTGGCTCCCCTGGTGGCTCCTGTGTGTTTTGGGATGGGGGAGCTCCTGCCTTCCTAGGGAGGAAGTGTGGACTTGGGGCCCCGCCTGGCCTCCACTTGCCCCTCGGGCTCTGACAGCAAACCAGACTTTGCAGGGAAGGGGCAGCAGTTACCTTGTCCAAGGACAGGGGCTGAGTGGCTGGGATCCTCAGCAACGCAGCAGATGGAGGCTCTTTCCAACCCTGATCTCCACCCAGGAGGGAGGTAAACGTGGGAATGTGAGGAGGAGGGGAGGGGAAATGAGCTCCCAGCTCTGTAATTTGTAGGGGACCCCCCTCCAATTCTAGGAAAAACCACATCCATAGCAAGGAGGGCTTTTCTGTGTGCTCAGAGAGGAGGCTCTCAGCTCTCAAGTTGGCCGGAGAAGTCTCACTTGATCTTGCATTTTGAAGTGGGGAAACTGAGGCCCACCAGGGACCTAGCCTGGGTCAGCCAGTGCTGCCAAGAGAAGACCTCTCCATCTTTTCTCTCTACCCCCAACAGGAGACCCTCCCCCAGAAGCTTCAGTGCAGGTGGAGTGTAGAGAGAGTGAGTTTAGAAAAGCTTTTGGGGCCCCCCTGCTAGCTCCTGGCTTCCCAGGCAGACAGGCGCAGAGAGGTCCTTTGGGGAGCAGGCGATGAAATCGTAACAGCTGTCGCAGACACAGTGTCAGGAACAGGACTTTGCACGCCGGACCACTGGCCGCCAGGTGCTGATCGCTGCCTTACCAACACCCCTTGGATGTTCTTAACCTTTCCACAGGCTGTGAATCCCTTTGACAGACCATTGAAAACCAGATCCCCTCCACCCTCCCAACCCCAGAAGGCAAGGCGCATACCTGCGACATTCATAGAATGGTTTTTCAAGGTCTCACCAAAGACCTGGAGCCTGTCCATGAACCCACTACCTCCCATCTATGAACCCAGGACCAAGGTTAAATGCCCCAAGGATATTTGTTTACTCTTCACAGAAGCCCCCAAGAGGTCAATATTATCCCTCCCTTTACAGATGTGTCCCCAGCTCTGGTTATCCCATGCCCTGGGTCATCCTGCAGAGCCAGGATGCAAATTCAGAGCTGTCCCCGGAACCAGGAGTTAAGCCACAGGGAGAGCAAGGGTCTGCAGTGGAAAAGCCAGAGACCCTCTGCCCGCACACTGGGAATGTCCGGATTTGAATGCAGCATTCACCGTGTACGGATGTTGCATAAGCTCTTTGTGCCTTCGTTTATTGGTAAGGGGACGTGGTTGTGGGCTGTTTTTTTTAAACAGCTTTATTGAGATAAAATAGACACATAACATCGTGTAAGTTGAAGTGTGCTGATACAGTGTGCCGATTGAATACATTTATGTGTTGCAAAATTATCACCGCCATGCCCTCATCATTCCTTTAAGCCATCTCTATCCTGTCACGTAGTTACTGTTTCTTTTGTGTGTGAGAGCATTTAAGATTTCCTTTCTTGCAACATTCAAGCATATGTTAACAGTATCATTAGCTGTAATTATGCTGTGTACTGTAGGTTTTTCATCTAAGAAGGGGATAAATGACGGCACCTATTCTCAGGGCTGTTGTAAGCGTTGAGCCTGTACGGAGAAAGGCTATCGTAGAGACGGAAACAAAGTCCCAGGGGCCCAGCGCACGGGAGAGTGGAGAAAATACAGACAGGGATGTGGACAGCTTTTGCTCTTAGTTTAAAGATCCATAAAGACACCATTCCCATCCCAAATCAAATCTACGCCCCAGCTTTGGCCCCAGGAATCCTAAATTGGGGTGGGGGTGTAAAAACAGACAAGCCTGCCATGTCTCCCACTCCCCAAGCCCAAGGTATTTTTACTGGCTAATTGCTTAAGTGAAGCCGCCCTGGCGGAGAGTGCGCCGTAACCCGAGCAGGGAACCAGATCCAGCTCGGATTGTGCCGGCCGGCCCAGTGGGAGGGGGCTGGGGCAGAGGCAGCAGCCGACCACCCACCGAGAGGGCAGCCGCCCTGTCCCCCACTATCCCTGCTCTGCATTAGTGAGGGGCCTGAGCCTCCCTTGTCCCTGCTCCCTCCAACCCCTTCCAGGCGGTGTCCAAAGGCAACAGAAGGTAGGGCAGGCAGGGCCCAGACCTGAGGTGGTCACTGGGCAGTTAGGGAAGCCACCTGGCCTGGCAGAGTCAGTAGGGAGGCCTGGAGTTGGGGACAGTGGTGGGGTATCTGTGGGTGAAAAATGTGACCCTGGGGACAGGGGGCTGTGGGGAGAAATGTCAGGGTCAGGAGACAGAGCAATCCCCCCCCTTCCCTGGCTAATAGGGTGATTTGTGCACAAAATACGTGGGATGTTTCTCTGCAGGCACCAGATGTGCACACGTATGATGCCTGCCAATGTGTAGAATATCCTCCCGGAGAGGCAGACCGCGCAGGACACGGGGCGCCTGGCTGCCTTGGCCGGTGAAGCACGTGACTCTTGATTTCAGGGTCATGAGTTTGAGGCCCACGTTGGGAAGTTTACTTTAAAAAAAAAAAAACGAGAGACAGAGAGAGAAACCTGCAATAAATAGGCCCAGAGTAGGGTAAGATGAGGTCCATGCCGGCGTGTCCTGTTGGCACTACCGTGTCGGGCAGGTGTGCATCACCAGGTCTGTGTGCACAGAAGAGCGTGAGGAACACACACCTAACTCGCGTCTGTGCTGAGGCTCGGGATGGGAGTGTGGTGCAGTAGCTTCCTGTGCGACTACTGTCAGATTCCGTCAGTAGAACTCGGTATGTGAGTAGAATATGCGAGTGCACTCTGCGGTGTTGCACGTACGGACAGTTACGGACTGTGCAGCACAGCACATCACTCGCACGCGGCGGGCTGTGGGCTGCGGACGCGGGACGGTAGAGGCTCCTCGGACCACGTGATTTAGAACTCCGTAGACCGCTGTCAGGGTTGCGTGTGTTCTCGTGGGCTACTCACACGAACCTTGTACAACGCGCACGCGTTGGTGCATGTGCACACAGGTCATCGTGGGAGAGGCGCTGGTGCACCAGAGGCGTCCTGGGTACATCGTGACGCGAGGAGACTCAGCAGCCAGTGTGGCCACTCGGAGCGCGAATAACAGAGCAGACAGGTGTCAGGGGCTTCGAGTGTGCTCTAACACACGGAGTGATCCTGCAGGGATCACGCCACAACACCAGGCCTGTGTGCCCTGGCCGGTCACTAGCACACAAAACCGTGACTCTGGAAGGCGTTCCTTGCTTCATCTCAGGCCCCGTCTCAGAAGGGGAGTGACTCTCCTACTTTACTTTTCTGGCAGTGGAGTGACTTTTCTGCACTCTGTCCTGCTGGCAGGGGTGGGTGGTTCTCGGAATGAACTGGAGACGTGGGGATGATGTGCTCCTGTGTCTGTCACAAGAGGCCGTGAGCTCTGGACCTTGTGGAATGAGCACTGGGAGGGGCCCTGACTGCGGAGAGCCCCAGTGCCTGGGTGCACAGCGACCGTCGGGAAAGCTGATCCGCAGTGCCCGCCTCATTCTCCGGGCCGGTCCTCACCTGTACTCAGGGCCACCCAACCAAACTCTAAACCCCACGGCCCTGTTCTGCCCTCTTGTCAGCAGCAAGCCATATTCTGGCCCCCACCTCCCAGGCTCTCCACGAGGGACCCTAAGGTGCGGAGGAGAGAGTGGCAGTGCCCTCTGCGCAGATGGGGCTTGGAAACCTCACCTCTGGGGACCACCAGGGCCGCGTCGGGAGGAGCCGCTGTGGGGCGAGTCAGGCACACGCCCGGCCCTGACAGATAGTCGTCCTCACTCAGCT